TTATTTTGTCGATGCAAAATTACCCCAATAGCTTCCTAACTTCATAGATCTCTAAGAGAAATAAGCTTCACAAAAGGGATGATCCTACAAGTAACTGACACGGCAAGGAACCTGTCAGGAGACAGCAAGAAGGGACATCAGTAAGATGACATCACTGTTAAAGAAATCCTTCAAGAATTCAACACACACTGCCCAATCTGGGATTGATCATATGCTGTTCACACTTTGGTAAGACAGAGTTCAGGATTCTCTGATCACAGATAAGAGGTAGGGGCTAGCAAGGGTTAATACGCAATAACTGCTCGTAGTTCATTCTGAAAGAAGTCTGGAGACAAAAGCAGAACTCAGTCAACAGAACAAAGCAAAAGACAGGTTTCAGTCAACCAAAAGTCATAAGCTGGAATCGTGAAGCAGATTGACTCTTCTGTTGTACTTACTAAAATACATTTCATAGAAATCATGATGTTTGTGAAAACATACTTGTACCTGAAAAAGCCTTGTAATCTTTAAATTGGCTCTCTTAAACTCAGTCTATAATTTGCAATTTACCTAAGCCTTATGATTAAAGTTGAAAAGAACCCCAAAATCTTTCAATGCCTTCACCATAGGTATAATCCTAGGTGAACCTTCACTGGACTGCATCCAAAGTAAGTATACGCTCAAGTAAAGAGACCAGACATAACTATAGTACTTAAATGCTTTATCTTACATCATCTCTTTCTTCTTCCATGAAGTACGAGCTTTGGTTGCCCCACCTTTGTGAGAATGTACTCAAACGTGCCTGAATGATTTCCTCTTTAAAGTCAATCCTTTTCATTTCTTTGACTGTCTGTCTGACAATTTTTGACTTATTTATTCACATCCAATTTAAATTAGCTGTCCTACAATTAAACATTTTTACTTTAGATTGTTCCTTCCCTCTTCCATTAAATAACCCTAAACATTATGATACTATGATCAAATGTTCCCTATTAAAAATTTCTTTGCTACTTGATCCAGTTAAAAGGGATTGTGCAGGACATACGACATAGAAACAACCCATTTTACCCAACCAGTCTATACCAGCATTAATCTTCCTCTCGAGCCTCAATCTATCCTTTCCTGATAGTGCGTATTGTTATGGACCAGATCAAACCCCTTCAAAATATATTAAGATAGTCTAGACCCTAACATTTTCTTATTTTAAAGGTAAGCATAAGACGTTGCATTCCAGATGCAATTCGATTAGTCAAACTACTCTAAGCAAAACACATTATTTTTACACTACAGTTAAAATACAGACAAAATAAAAGAATTGGCTTAACTGTAACTGTTGAAATGCTTAACACTATGTCAGACCCTTAATTGTCACACCCTGGTTATCACAATCCATAATCACTGCCCTTCAGTGTTGCCTTCTCCTTTCTCTTTAACCGTCTAAACATTCACACACCTTAACCTGTCCCTCACTATTTAGTTCAAAGCCCTATCTGCAAATCTAATTTTACGATTTGCCATCCAGCACATTCAAGTGAAATCTCTCACTTTCCAAATTCCTGAGCTATGTACTCTGTAGAAGCTGTACTCAAAAAAGTGCATTACTGTATTTATAATAACAAATTTCAAAGTCCTGAATCAGCCCTGCTGATCAGATAACCAGATCTAAATAGTTACTTTTAACTGTGCAGACGGATGGTTTATCACTGGCTAGCACTGTGAAAGAAACACACACCGTTTTAGGCTACAATCATTTGGTAATACAGAACTTCAATGTGCAGGAAAAAAAGGTGCTACCAATGCTATTCATCTTGGACTCATCAGGACAAACACATTTCAATCTGTCACAACAATTATTACAACAGGAGAAAAAAAAGTACTGAGAT